CGGAAAATTTCTCCGCGCGGATGCGTGAAGTTCCTCCACGAGTCTCCATTTCTCGACACTCATCTTTGATCCGTTTTTGTCTTTTACGTTTACTACTACTATTGAAACGATTCAATTTATGATAAATCCAGACTCGCGAAGTTCATCGATTATCGATAGAATTTCGTTGTCGTGAGCGTTATTGCCAGCACTACGGGAGGCATCGAGCAACTGAAGACGGTCCACCAACTCATTCGGATCGTCCCAATGAACGTAATCGACTTTGTTGTCCGTTACTCTCATAGTCGTCGGCACACCCGCACCCAAACTCATAGTTCTGTGCGCAGAAACGAGTGGACCGATAATATACTTGTACTTGTGTCCCTTGTTACTTTTGACAGGCATTTCAGCGTTATGACGACGTCTGTGAGCATTAGTTGTCAACAGTATACTCTTGTATGTTTGCTTATCGTTCTCGGTGTAGATGTCGTCGTCGGGAAGTCTCTTGAAAATTAACTCGTACAGACCTCGTGTACCCTTATATCTGTTTCCATCGATTATTATGGTATCGTCTGTATCCACATCGAATTTTTTATCACCCAACATTGTACCGTTCTCATCGAAATAAACACCGTACACGTTATCGATTTCATTTCTCTTGTCACCACTCAGAAGTGCATTGATATATATGTGTCCTAATGGTCCTAGCTGACTGTTCAATCTATCGCGACCTTGAGGTGTCCTTAAAACTTCTCTAACAGACGTTTCGAGAGATGGATCAGCATCGTTGGAGGTTTCGAAAACGTCCTCATCCTGTACCGCTGGGAAATGAAATTGCGAATCTATCGACTGTGACGTAACGTTCGACGACTGTTCTTTTAACGGAGATCGATTTTGTTTACTTTTTCTAGCAATTGCATCATCATTAACATCATTATCATCATTATCATCATTGTCGTTGTCACTGTGCTCACGTTTACCTTTCGGCGTTTTTACTTTCACGACATCTCCAATTTTCGACTGTTTGTCTCGTTCAGTGATATCGACAATTTGTCTCAACGGTTCTACGATCGGTTTGAATCTTTTCTTCAGGGCAATTTCGCTCTCCATTATGCCCGTTTTCTACGCTCTGTGTTTCTTACGAATCGACGCACGTGTTTTCGCGATCAGTTTTGCGGTTCTTTCGCGTTCGGCGATGTTATTCGTTTCGTCCATATCGTCGCGCTGTCACGATAAACACTGTACGACTTACAGAATCGCGAAATCGTCGAAGCCACGTCTATACCTGCCATTCTGTAACGCGCTGTCCTTGTCTATAACCACGAAACCATATTTGCGTTGCCAACATAGATGACACAGTGTGCAAAATTTCTCGTACGACATATCAGTATTCACGTAATCGTTGTAAATGTGTTTCAGATTGGTGCCACCTTGTTTGAATAGAATTAGCAAATTGGCATTGTCGCGTATGAGATGTTTTGGTATTTTCGCATATGTTTGACAGAGATAAAAACAATCGACACTCGCATGTCGACCCATGGCGAAGTATTCCCTGATAGTATTCTGCTTGTCGCAGGCTACGTCGTCGAATACGAAAATCGAGTTTGGAAGCGCTTCGCTAGGCGGAATAAGGTCACCATTATTAGAAAAAGCATAGTAACCGATATCGTCGATCGATTTCATCAGCTCTTCGAGATATCGATATTTAGGTTGAAACAAGGATTTCGAATAAACGTAAACGTTTTCGAAACGTAAACCATGTGGACTCTCTATCAGACTTAGCAACATATTCGTTTTACCACAATTGGAAGGTCCGCAAATGATGCAACGTATCGAACTAGGTAGTGCAGGACCGTGTCTGCAATTCTCTCTGACCATGTCACTCGACATCAGTCGCGTCTTCCGATCGAGATTCGATACTCCTATCGTTCGAGATTGTCGCACGAATCGCATTTGTCGCTCTTTTGACGCGCGTGCGCAAACTTAGATGCGACGGGGGAAAGACACGTGCTATTTATACCGCGAACAGACGAGCCTTTCGCACAGTCTATCATTTATTTTGACGAGTGATCATCTACGAAAAAAAAATGTTCATTCTGATAACGGACAAACGCGACATTCTCGCTTTTACAGCCGAACAACTGCAATACGTACCAAGGGTCATCCTTCTGCGCGATTTCGAAAATTATATCGAAGAATTGTGGGATCGATTGCCCGATCATATAAAAGCCGATACTGAGGTGAAACGTTGTCGTATATGTTTCGAGCATTATAATCTTCCGAATCAAAAAACGCATATAGACGGTCCACCGCCTCTCATCAAGAATTGTCCCCAATGTCGCGTTGATATGCAAACAGTCAAGTCGGAATGATACCTGCGCACGGCACGGGTTTACTGAACGCGACGATAAACGCGCTTCCGTTTGAATTACACATTCCTGGATACCAATTTTGCGGACCAGGTACGCGTCTCACGAAACGATTAGCTCGCGGCGATCGAGGCATCAATAAATTAGACGCGGCTTGTCGCGAACACGATATCGCGTATTCGCGAAGCAAAGATCTCGTCAGTCGAAACAGTGCTGATCGAGCTCTCGCCGAGAAAGCAAAAGAGCGTATTACAGCAAGCGATTCGACGTTCGGTGAGAAAGCTGTCGCGACCGCCGTGTGGGCAGCCATGAAGGCGAAGACAAAATTGGGCATGGGTGTGAGAAAAAGAAAAAAATCAAGGAGAACGAGGATTTTATCTGTAGCGAAACGCGGTGGTTTTCTGCCAATTTTACCGGTGTTGTGTGCGCTCGGATCTTTGATCGGTGGAGCAGCTAGCGTGACGAAAGCAATGGGCGATCGAAAAGCCGCTCGACGACAACCCGAGGAATTGCAACGTCACAATCGCGCGATGAAGGGTCGTGGTCTTGTACATTGCGCCACACAAACGTGGCAGTCGCGTGAGGAAGAGAACGAAGAGGACAAAAAAAAGACATCATGGAAGAAAACGGTAGAGGATCTTAACTTATCGACCTCCGGTATCACGACGAACGAGCAATTGCGTCGTTCGGGCGTATCTTTTAAAATTGCCATTCTTCAGAGGTGTACTCATGCGCGATGCGATGCCCGCGAAACCACGTCGTAACGATAGCGGTATCGTGAATCTCTACGATTCGACAGCACCCGGTACACACTGGGTCGCTTACGCGAAGAGAGGAAACGAATCTGTCTACTTCGACGGTTTCGGTAATCTGAGACCACCGAAGGAAGTCGAACGTTATCTCGGAGGTAACATCACATACAACAGGCGATCGTATCAGTCGTACGATCAAAGCATTTGCGGTCAGTTGTGTCTACGGTTTCTCTGGGAGATCGATTGGAAGAGGAAAAAAGTCCTCGTGTGACAGATCGCACTACAATCCGAACAGTTCAGCGGTGGCTTTCGCGCTACGATCATGTCATTGACTCTCTCATTAACGGGAAAAAACAGTGTCCTCGCGGCGAATTACTTCCCCGCTTTGGACTTGAGCGATAGCGAATACGAATTGGGTCTTACGAATTTCGAAACGTACAACACGATACCGAACGTCAACTCCTCGAATAATAAATTCCACTTCGACACCGACGACATTACGATCACGATTCCCGTAGGTTCGTACGAATTGAACGATATCGAAAAGTATCTGAGGACCGCTATAGTTCACAATACACTACCGAGTACTATCAACAATGACGAACTCGAAGAATTCGACGAGGTAGATCTAATATTCGAGGACGAAAGAACTATGGAACGAGCGAAATCTGTATTGATTCTTCGCGCGAACGAAAACACCATGAGAAGTGAGATCAAGTGTCAATATTTAATAGATTTTTCCAAAACGAACAGTATCGGTTCATTATTGGGCTTTTCGTCTCGTATGTTACGACCGAACAAGTGGCACGTATCGGACGAACCGGTTAAAATTATGAACGTGAATATAATTCGCGTTGAGTGTAACATTACCTCGGGTGCGTACAACAACGACAGACCGGTACACACGATACACGAATTCGTCCAGGATATAAACTATCTGTTACTCCGGCGCACGTCATTTACCTCCCGGTCATCGCACGAAACATTACCGATATAACGATACGTGTAGTGGATCAAAACGGACAGTTGATCGACTTTCGCGGCGAAGAGATATCGATTCGACTACACATACGACGTAAACGCTAGGAAAACTATGTTCGAGGGTGGAAGATGCTCGTCCTGAACGATTCGTACGACGGAGTGAACGTATCGCAAACATCGACATTGTGGAAGCCATTCAAAAATCGATACAATCGAACGAAAAAACAAAGAAGAGGAGGTCGATTAAACGCGAGGAACGTCGCCTTTCTACGGTCACTCGGATTCGTCGTGAGAAATGAATCGTGACATCCTGAAGATCGGAGGTGCTCCGATCTTCGACGATCGCATCGTTAAAATAGAGACTCACACGTACAATCCGTACGCTAACACTACATTCGGATACAGCGATGAAATACGAATACCGATTCAACATCAGGATCTCTACACGTTACCGTGCGAAAGTGTACTCTACATCGAGGGAAAATTCGTCAAAAAACAGAAGGAAGGAAGTACCAACCAAACACCGAAACTGACGAATAACTGCGTCGCATTCATGTTCGACGAGATTCGTTACGAATTAGACGGAGTTGAAATTGACAGAAACAGAAACGTCGGTATTACAAGCACTATTAAAAATTACATTTCGTTGACAGCTGAAAGAAATAAAACGTTAGAGAATGCAGGATGAAAAATTGCACTTTCTCTAGACTTATTGCTCGATCGATCAATAACAACATCTGAAGAGTTTAACTTTTGTGTACCGCTCAACACACTTCTTGGATTTTGTGAGGACTACAAACGTATAGTTATAAACGCCCGACATGAACTCGTTCTGATACGTGCGCGTAACGACAACAATTGCGTTATCGCTAGCGACACCGAGGAATTTACACTCACATTATCAAAAGTAGAATGGAAGATGCCGCACGTGATACTGAACGACGTAAACAAATTATCCCTCTTGCGAACGTTGGAAAACGGACGATATCTCAGCATGGGATTTCGATCTTGGGATTTGTACGAATTTCCTCTACTTCAGAGCACGACGAAGCATTCGTGGGCTGTGAAGACAACGTCGCATTTGGAAAAACCACGATACGTGATCCTTTCGCTTCAAACTGGAAAGCGAAACGTACTCTCTCAGGATAGTACTCATTTCGACGAGTGCGCGCTCGCCAACGTGAAACTCTTTTTGAACTCCGATTTTTTTCCATACAATAATATGAATGTGGATTTCGAACGTAATAAAGTCGCAATACTATACGACATGTATGCAAAATTTGCGAACTCCTACTACGGCTACGAAAGAAACGAAGCTTTGTTATCACTCGCGCAATTTATTTCGTCCGCCCCACTCGTGGTGATCGATTGCTCTCGTCAAAACGAATCTGTAAAGAGCGCAACCGTGGACATTCGTATCGAATTCGAATGTAGAAAGAACATTCCACCGGACACCACGGCCTATTGCCTAATTATTCATGACAGAGTAATAGAGTACAATCCATTGACAAATGTCGTTCGTAAAATTATCTAACAATAAAGATAACGAATTTTTCACGATATTACAGACTGAGTATTTTTAATGTATGCTTCACAAAAATAAACGTTATTTGAAACGAACTGTACTACGTTTACTGACACTCATACGATTCGTTTCCTATATCTATTTTCGACACACATACCACTCCTCTCCCCTCCACATACTCGGCAGAATGCGATTGACTGTCGAACCGTACACTTCCGCTGTGCACGTACGCCGCGATGTCTCTCGCTTACCTCGTGGCTTTCGTTTCTGTAACGATATGCGCGTCGACGCCGACGGCTGAAAATCTCGTAAACACAGAAGTGATAGAATATTTGCAGAGGTACGGTTACCTAAAAGAGGCAGATGTAACTACTCACACGTCGATCGAGGATGAAAAAATTAAAGAGGCTATCGCATTATTTCAAGAATACTATCAAATACCAGGTAACGGTATATTGAACGATAATACGTTAGATCAAATGCGAAAACCTCGATGTGGACTTCCGGATATGCCACACCAGGAACACAATACGAATACAGTAAAATGGAAAAAAACGCATCTTACGTGGAACTTTCACTTAGCGGACGCGAATACATTGAAACTCGCGACATACGCATTCTTAATATGGGCGGCGAACACGTATCTAACATTCGAACGTTAAATCCAGATATTTTGATATCGTATCGCGGAGGAATTCACACATACATCGACAACAGACGTGAGGAAACGATCTGTTCCGGTTTGTTCGACGGACCCGGTGGAGTGCTCGCACACGCGTTTTGCACCTATGAACGACCCCATGCAAAGCACTGAGATACACGTAGACGTAGCGGAACCTTGACTTATACAATTAAACGAAAGTATATCAGAAAACAAACTACATTTACTTTACACTAACGCACGAAATCGGACATTCATTAGGATTATCGCACAATCATTTCGCAGATTCTCTAATGTTTCCTTACGTCACCGATAGATCCGCTACACTCAGTATAGTGGACATTTTAGCTATTCAACGTCTATATTGAAAAAATCAAAATAAAGTACCGAGTACACGATCTCCACCGGTAACTACAGACACGCGTAAAACATCAACGCAAAATCTATGCGATCTACCATACGTGGACAATGTACTGGTGTTGAAACATCACATATTCGTCACTTATCGAAAGAGCATATGGGTGATAGCCATCAATGGTAAAAGGTACAAGGGACC